CTTACCTACCTAGTGAATATTGAAATGTATTGTTCCAAGTGGAATGTTTCTAACTGAAACTGATCCCAACATACTCCATAACCCGCTAGACAAAGCCCTGGCTGGGATGATGTAGTTGGAGCTGGTCCTGCGTTGAGCAGGGGGTTGGACTAGATGCGACTTCCTGAGCTCCCTTCCAACCCACACTTTCTGTGTTTCTATAGCCCTGCAGTCACAAGTGAAGGCGCTGTCCTGTAAGGAGGGAAACCTTGGGTAAAATTCCTGTTCTGAAGTAGAGATGGAATTTAAACCTGTAAAAGGAGATGTAGGCACTCCCTCTTTGTCAGTAATTTTTGGAGGTGCTGTGCACTGATACATCAGTCCTATATCATATCGGCACCAATAAAAGGAAAATTGACATTATTGGCTTTTGGCTTTTCTTGGCTGATAATGTCACTGATAAATGCTGCGTGCATGCATACAGTCACAATGCAGCACAGCAACGTGGAGAGCAGTGTCCAGCTGGTAAGTCTGTTGTGGGGAAAAGGCTGTGGGGGGGGCAGACTGAGACCCCCGCGGTGAAAGAGGGAGAAGGGCAGGGGCAGGTGCTGCACAGGTGGGGCAGGGCATGGGATGGAACCACAAGCGAGAGTGTGGGTGGCATTTGCCCCCTGCATCTATGCGAGGGGCAAGGGCGGGCTGCCACTGCAGGCTTGGGCCAGGGGTGGCGCCAGCCTCTTCCCAGTGGCAGGGTTGGACCAGGGCTGCACTCGGGGTGGGCAGTGGCAATGCTGGGAGGGCGGTTACAGGGTGGGCTGCAGCAACCCCAAAATTTACCATAGCCCCCGCCCCCTCCCCATAGCAGCATCGCTGCTGCCCACCCGCATACTGATTTGATTGCTGGGCCGCATGTTGGCAATCGGATTAGTATTGGCTGATATGGCTCATTAAAAATTGGCCGTTGGTATCAGCCCAGAAAATATCTGTTGGTGCACCCCTAGTAGTTTTTGTGACTATCACCCAAGTACCCTTGTCAGGTTAGCCCAAAAAGATTAAATGTTTTGGAAATTATGAAACAAACTGGTTTGACTTTTCAAAACCATTTTTTTTCTTTACATTTGTATTCATGCCTCAGGGAGATCCAGTGTGGGGATATACATCTTTCCTCTGATGGTTGGCCAGAAGCAAGTTTAAATTTAGTACTGGCAGAGGGTTTCTGGTAATTTCTTGGGTTCCTAAATGTAAGAAGCAAGGAGGGTGGTGGTGTGAGAGAGAACTTTTGTTGGACCTACTATATAGTTGAAAGAGGTTTTGGACAAGCCTTTCTTTCATGGAAGAAGGGCGCTTTGTGCCCAAAAGCTTCTTAACTGTATGGTGGGTCCAATAAGATAATCGCAAACAAAACTCTTCTCTCTTGTATCTTTCTGGACCATTGCAGCTACACAAACACTTAGTTCATAACTTGGAGACATCCAGGATATTGTCTGATTTTTTGCATATTCCTGGTGCTGAAAGATTACTGTCTTTTGATGAATTTTGTGCAGGTGTGAACTAAGGTAGAGGTATTTATGTGATGTCTTTTTGAAGACTAAGAACATGAATTGTGTTTTTTAAGGAATCTGGTGCTTTGTGGGAAGCATTGAAAGCACTCATAATAAAGTTGCCAACCAAGAAGAGATTGGTTTTTCTGGGCTATTTGAGCTTCAGTAAAGTGTAGGTTGTCGGGTGTGGCTGGGTAGGTGACATAACCTGGTAAGGAATTATTTCCTCATGGTGACCATATGCACTTGGTAGATCTACCCTCCTATTTACTGATTGATCAGAACCAGGTATCAGTCTCTCTGATTTGGGCTATGCAGTCTGATTTGATTAATCATTTTGCTGTGTAGAACAGGGGTGCTTAACCCCTGATCCATGTCATCCAGCCAAGGGGCTCTTTATGGGTCAGAAAATGTGGTGGCAGGGGAGAGGGAGGCACTGCTTCCCTGCTGCCAAATCTCCAGATTTGTGGGGAGCCCTGGGCCCTGCATGCTATATCAGGTGTCTGATCCTGGCACATGGGGGTTGTCAGGGGTTTCAAAGATTTTTACTCTAGAGCGGTGTTGCTCAACCTTTTGGCCTCACAGGCCAGATGAATAGAGTGGATGGATGGTCCATAGACCAGATTGGGTCTTGGGGTGCCAGAAGTAGTAGCAGGCTCCAGAGCTGTTCCTGTCTGCTCTAGCCAGCAGCAGCTTTTCCTTCCAGCCAGGGAGCAGGAGTGTAGTGAGGGCATACAACCCTCCCACTGTTGCTGCCATCACCACTGCTGTCTGTGGGGAGCTTGGCTCCATGTGCAGCCTTGCTCCTGTCCAACTCCCAAGTGGGGCAGGAGTTGCCTTGGAGTCTCCCCTACCTTGGGGTCCTCTGGGGACAGTGGGACAGGAGGGGATGTGCTACTGAGCCCAGAGGAGAGGGGTGGTGGCAGGGAAGATTCTTACCTGATTGAAGAACTGAAAGAAGAAGAAGGATTCCTGCTGCTGCTCCTATGGTCTGCTCACCCTTTCAGGGGGAGTGAGTTAAAAGCCAGGGTCCAGCAAACTCTGCAGGCCTCAGTTGCTGCTCCTGCACCCCTTCACAAATCCTGGAGCTGCCCATGGCGAGTGACCTTGTCTATGGAAAGTCTAGTGCCAGTGCCTAGACCAGATCTGGCCCCCAGCACCTTCTCATCTAAGCTGTGGCCCTGCGCACTAGATCCAGGTTGCAGGGTGGGACAGGCCCCAATTCCAGCATATGGGGCCAGACAGAGGCAGTGCAGGGTCTTGGGGCCCCAATCCTAGCCTGAAGGGCACCCTCATGCCATTCATTTACCCTGCCCAGCCAAAAGGTTACACACTCTTGGCCTAGACAGTGAAAATTTGAAGTATTTTCTTGATGTTACTGCCTTGGTTGGCTGGCAGAGTGAGGTAGCAGCACTATTTAAATGACCTGCTGCACCAAGGCTAACCAATTATTTTGGCTGAGGGCCACTTGTATGTGCAGCCCTTGACAGCTCACCAGAACTCATCTTTCAGAAGATATCATTTTAACAAATTATAGATAAAAAACGAATCATACTAAAAATCAAAACATCTACTATAACATTTAAATTGTATTTAAAAAAAAATGTTGTCCTGATTTATATTTTTCTTTCAGTAGTATATATAGAGGCAATTGCATAATAAAATAGAGTCTTATTCTTGTTTATTGTGTGTGTGGAGGGGTGGGGCAGGGGATGTGCATGTGTATGTGGGGGGCTGCCTGCATGCTGGGTCCTGGGAGCTGGCCAGGGTAGAAAGGGAGGCAGGGGACGCATGCAGCAGAGCTCGCTGGGGTGGTGCAGGTACAATCTGTGCCCCCCCCCGATCCAGCCCATGGCTGCTCCTGCAGTACTCCATATGGGGCTGAGACCCACCTGGGGCAGCCTGCACTGCATTTCCACCCATGCCCTCCAATGGTGCCTCCTTGGCTCCAGCCAGTAAACACAGCTTCCTGGCAAGGCTGCTCTTGCTGCTCCTGTAGCCCACCCAGGTGCTGCTTGGCCTCCCCCAACTCCATTGGCTCCTTATCCTCTTCCTGCTCCTGTTTGCTGCTCCAGGTTGGGGGGGACCAGCTTTTGCCCCAGTGCACAGGGCTCCAGCTCTCAGCCACCTTCCACCCATGAGGCTGCCTGCAGGTGGTTGCTCATTGCACTGGGTGGGCAGAGTGAGTAGAAGGCGGCCGGGATGAAGCTTCATCCCCCCCTCCACCTAGAGCAACGCAGCAGAGGCAGGAGGAAGAGCCTCTGGAGGCAGAGGGGAGCTGAGCAGTAGCTGGGGAGGGTGCGCTCTGGCCAGAGTGGTGCCATCAGCAGGCAGGGGTGGGAGCCAAGGGCAGACTGCCTTGGAGCAGGGAGTAGGCGGGGCTCAGGCCCCTGCAGAGCACCACAGGGGCAGCCCTGGCCAGATCTGGCCCACAGGTCATATTTTGCCCACCACTGATTTAGGTCATATGCTGATGCCTCAGAAAATTTGGCTCCTCTGCTGCTGCGCCATGTGCTGGGGAGCACAAACCATAATACTAAGTGAGCTGATGGGAGCAAATGCTCTCCTACCTTCCTCATCCACTTGCTAAGCTCCACTAAAGTGCCTTTCTTGCTATATATGCTCCTTACTTCTCTGCTCACTCACCTGGTCTCGTTGGCTCTCTTGAAGGAGTACAGAGCATTCCTGATGAGTCAGGAAGGCCAATCTGATATGAAAACAAGTAGCTGATCCAAGCAACTCTGAAGTGACTACTCTTACTGCAGTTAGATTTCCTGACTACGAAGTAATTCCTTCATTAACTTTTAATATTTCAAAAGATAGCCTGTTTGAGTCTTATTGTTGAGTGACCCTGCAGCTCATATAGAAACAACAAAAAAGTATGAGCATTTAGTCTTGCTCTAAATGCTTGTTTTGACACATCAGTGATCTGGGAATCACTGCTGACACTTTATCTTTTGCTTGTTAGTGATTTTTTTTTTTCCTGACAGAACAGCACTTATCAGTACTGCAAGCTGTGACTTGTATATCAAAGATGGGTGAAGCAATTTGTTTTAAAAAAGTAGTAGTATGCAATCATGTATGAAAGGCACTATAAGAACAGATACTCCCAGAGATACTTCATCTGTGATAGACTGTTGAAAAAACTAAAGTCTAATTTTAATGTTCTCTTACTATTTTTCAGCTGAAATTTTTTAAGATTGATTATGCAGAAAGGGAGACTCCTTTCCCATAGTTCCTTCTAGGCAAAATGAAGAGTTTTCATAGTGCTCAACCCATTGTATTCCCTACTTTTGGTTCACATTTCTCTCTCAAAATTTATTGTAGGTCGCTCAGTGTAATTACTTGGCTCTCACACTTATACTTAAGGCAGTTTCTTTTTCCGACATCCTCATTCTCTGTTAATGGCCTCTACTTTTCAATTTTGAGATCCTAAACTGGAAGGATTTTAACTTGTGTTTTTCTTTTTGTTTTAGGCTGTTTAATAATAAGAAAACATATCAGCTGCTATGCTACAAGGATGGAGTCTATCGTGTGGGAATGTGGCTAATCAACTTACCGCCTTAACCTAATGCACAGTGCATAATAATGTGAAAAAGGAAAGAGAAGAGAAAATGATGTGTCTCTCCTATATCTTAAAAACACACACTTTTGGATGGACTGGCCAAGCAGAATTCATTCAGTACAGAGAGTATTCCGGTCTTTGAAGAACCTCAATCAAGAAATGAAACTCCTGACATTTAAAGACAATCCTGCAGGTGCACGTCTACCTGAAAATGTTTAGTTAATAATCTGACGGGCCTCAGCAACTGGCCTCCATTTGCATTGTGGAAGGATGGCTGTTTGCTTGGTGTTCTGTTCTCTCTGGCTTCTGGATGTTTTGGTGGGGCGCACAGGTGGGCACAGTTTATTTTCTTGCGAGCCTATCATCTTGAGGATGTGTCAAGACCTGCCTTACAATACCACCTTTATGCCTAATCTTCTGAACCATTATGACCAGCAGACGGCAGCATTAGCAATGGAGGTAAGAATTCATCTACTTAAAAAATGTGTGTGGTGGGCATTTAATTGACCATTGAATAATTCTTAGCAGCTAGGAATTATGGAGGAATATAGTTCTGTGTACATTATTTATTCTGTCATCATAGCGTCCTTCAAAGGCACAAGCTACGTTGATGCTGTTTTGCATAGAAGTAATACAGTTATTCCACTTCCATGTATGGGTAAATATATGAGAGAATATGAACAGTTGTATTTATTTTCTAATGTTCTAAAATGTTTAGAGTTTAAATATTTAAGCAAATCTAGAGTACATGATTTGAATATTACGTCGGGAAAATGCAGGTTATTAAATAAATATTTTTTGCAAAGTGCTTTAACTTACACAGTGACACAAAATAACCATCAAATCTTGGTTCCAGAAAGTGTGCCTTTGGTGGCTGGGTTATTATTTTTGCCTTTCTGAGTTATTACAGATTATTTGCCTTTGTCTCAGTCTTGTTATAGAAAAAATCTTATGCAAATGGCTGCCTTAGCAAGCTAATACTGTTGCTTTCCCAGGTTACAAGCATTTAGTTAGGCTGCTTAGACTTAGAGTTCAAGATTCAGGCAGGCAAACTGATGTATAGAATGAGAACAGAACATGCTTCTGGCATGAGTTTTTATTTAAATAAAAATGTTGGCTAATCTGGAACTACTTGAAAATTAAATAGATTTGATTTGACTTGAATCAAAATTGGTCATAACAACAGCGTTGTTTCATAAATAGAGAAGACCAAGGCTTCCCCCACTTCTCCAGGGAAGAGTTTACTGCCGCACCCAACAGACTTACTCCGGCCAAATGAAACCAAACAGTCTTAACCTTGAATGCCTTTTCTTATGCTT